CTCTCCCCCCCCCCCCCATCTTCCCCTCTCTCTCATCTCTCTCTCTATCTCTCTCCACTCTCCCTCTCTATCTCTCTCCCTCTTTCCCCTCTCTCTCCTCTCTCTATCACTCTCCCTCTTTCCCCTCTCTCTCCTCTCTCTATCTCTCTCTCCACTCTCCCTCTCTATCTCTCTCCCTCTTTCCCCTCTCTCTCCTCTCTCTATCTCTCTCTCTCTCCACTCTCCCTCTCTATCTCTCTCCCTCTTTCCCCTCTCCATCTATCTCTCCCCTCTTTCCCTCCTCTCTTCATCTCCTCTCTCTCTCATCTCTCTTCACTCTCCCTCATCTATCTCTCTCCCTCTCATCCCCTCTCTGCGCGATATCCTCTCTCGTATCTCTCTCTCCACTTCCCTCTCTATCTTTCCCCCTTTCCCCTCGCCTCTCTCTCTCTCTCCTCTCTCTATCTCTCTCCACTCTCCCTCTCTATCTCTCTCACTCTTTCCCCTCTTTCTCCTCTCTCTATCTCTTTCTCCACTCTCCCTCGCTATCTCTCCATATCTCACTCCTCTCTCTTTATCTCTATCTCTCTCTCTCATTAGGCAGTCATTATTGTATACTGTCACTACTGTGTACGTTGTAAATTGCACGTCAGTGAAAAGCCGCAGAGAAGGAAACTTATAGAAGCAGCTTGAATAGAAGCTACCAAACAAGCGCACGCCTTCTCTGAACACGCGATATAATTAGAAGAGGCGCGGACAGTTAAGAAGAGCGCCTGCAAGAGTCGAGCGATGCGATGCTGGTGAAGCTAGTGATCAATAATGCGGGCGGTATGCCTCAATTGACTGGGAAGGAAGGTGCGCGATAGGCAATGCGCGAAATTAAAAAAGGAAATCCGCCGGGGACCGGAACAGGAGACCGGAACATCCGCCCGCGAAGTTGTCCCACTGTACGTTGTCGTCAGACTGTCCGTCGTCAGTCGTCGTCGTCGTCGTTCTCGTCGTCTCGTCGTCGTCGTGTCGTCGTCTCGCTCGTAGTCAATTGTCGCTGTCGTTGTCGTTGTCGTTATCGTTATCAGTTGTCGTCGTGCGTTGTCGTTTAGATAGAGAGAGAAGAGAGAGGGGAAAGAGGGAGAGAGATAGAGAGGGAGAGTGGAGAGAGATAGAGAGAGGAGAGAGAGGGGAAAGTGGGAGAGAGATAGAGAGGGAGAGTGGAGAGAGATAGAGAGAGAAGAGAGAGGGGAAAGTGGGAGAGAGATAGAGAGGGAGAGTGGAGAGAGATAGAGAGAGGAGAGAGAAGAGAAAGAGTGGAGAGAGATAGAGAGAGGAGAGAGAGAGGGGAAAGAGTGAGAGAGATAGAGAGGGAGAGTGGAGAGAGATAGAGAGAGGAGAGAGAGAGGGAGGAAGAGTGAGAGAGATAGAGAGAGGGGAAAGAGGGAGAGAGATAGAGAGGGAGAGTGGAGAGAGATAGAGAGAGGAGAGAGAGGGGAAAGAGTGAGAGAGATAGAGAGAGGAGAGGAGAGAGATAGAGAGAGGAGAGAGAGAGAGAGAGAGAGGAGGAGGAAGCATCGTCGCACGGTGGGCAAGCTTTCATTTCCCAGCCAACGTTTCACTAATAACGTGATGGTAAATAAACACGAAATGTATTTACTACGAAAGTCTTAATGTTTCCCTACTTTCTTTCGCTTATTATTACTGATAACATTTTAAAAATGCCGTTCAAATGCTCCTCTGCAACACAAAATGTTTATCTATTATATTTTGCCTATTATTGGTAACGGTGTCCCGTAAATGTAGTTCAGATGCTTCTCTGCAACGCACAATTTCACCGCGAGCACGCCACTGTGTGCACAGTGGCGTGTGTGCGGTGAAATTGTGTGTTGCAGAGAAGCATTTTAACGGCATTTACGTGGAATTATTAGTCGATAGAGTATACATAAACATTGAGACTTTGGTAGTATATACATTTCGTGTTTATTTATCATCATTTTATTATCGAATCGTTCCACGTGCTTCCGCATTCTGTCTTTGGTGCATTCGCCTGCTACATGGGTCTATTCACCCGGGAATCCACTCATCATCTATATTCCCTAGTGGGATTCCACGCAGTATATCCGATTAGCTCGTATATGAAAGGTGTTTCGTATTTTGCGATAAAACATCAAATTTCTCCACGCTTTGTCTCTACAAGACGTGACGGATGTGCGAGAAAGTAGAGTTAATCCAAAAATATTCTCTGATGACTTCGATGGGTCGAGGTAAGGCTAACACATTCTCCCCTGAGGGGGTCCATAATGTACATGGTCCGAAATACGCTGCCGGTTCTCGGGTTGAGAATATTCACCATAGACTACTCGCGCTTGGAACGAGATGCAGCGTCGGTCGATGAGATTGGAATTCGTGAATGGTTAGCAGTAACTCGGTTACTAGTTTACTCGTCGCTTAAGTGATTTAATTACCGTTTGAAAGACACGAGCTCGCTGCAGTGCGCGGGAGAAACGTATGACGAGGGAGTGCGCAGAATGAACGCTAGCGTCATAATGATATAAGATGATTAGCAGAGTACAGTTTAGATATGATATTGACAAATTTATATACATATATATATCAAGAGCATATAAAGAAGTATACAAGAGCATAATCTCCTTCTTTATATGCTCTTGATATATATATATATATATATATATGCGTGCGTGCGGGCGGGCGTGCGTGCGTGTGTGATTGCGTGCGTGCGTGAGTGAGTGAGTGAGTGCGTGCGCGCGCGTGTGTGTTGAAACAGCACAGTCTGGCGCCCGACTAACATGGACGTGCGTGGGTCTATCATAGCAGTGCAAATATCAACAATAAATTCTAGCCGCTTAACAAACGCTCGTTCATAAGAAAACACGGCAGTAATGAAAACGAATTTGCTTCACGTTAAGCAATCAATACACCGCGGGGGATGAATTAAGTATTCCAGCATTGGCACCAAAAATCGAGCAGCAAAAGCTCGCAACCGGCTTGTGTAAATGTAATGGCTGCCAGTCTTTCTGCTGCCGCTGCTGCTACTACTGCTGCTGCCGCTGCTGCTGCTACTACTGCTGCTGCTGCTACTGCTGCTGCTGCTGCTGCTACTGCTGCTGCTGCTGCTGCTGCTGCTGCTGCTACTACTACTACTACTTCTCCTGCTGCTGCTACTGCTGCTACTGCTGCTGCTGCTGCTGCTGCTGCTGCTGCTGCTGCTGCTGCTACTGCTGCTGCTGCTGCTGCTGCTGCTGCTGCTACTACTACTACTACTT